GACAAGAATGGAAAGCAATAGGTGCTTTCATCATGGTGCTCAGCTGGCTTTGGGAGGGCAGATGATTGAGGAAGAATTACAGGTGGGAGGTGCAACAGGTGGGAGTGACTCACTACCAATACGATGCTTTCCCCTTGGTGATCAGGATGAATCTCATTATCATGCAATTCTATACATGCTTACTCTGAAATGACTCCGTTACAGTTTTCATTTGATGTACTCCCAAATGTACATATAAGCTTGCAGTCCAGCAGCAGTCTCTACCTCCTTAAAGTTCATGTACAGCAGCCACAAATTCATAGCGGTATTCTTGCTTTCATCCAATTTCATTGCAAAGGAAAGGAAAGGGTGAGAAGCAGCCCTGCTTTCTTGATACAATTTGCAAAATATTTGAACTGGAGAGTAGCAATAGGGAATCTGGGCTTTATTAGGTGCCCCTCCCTTCTGCTTCTATCTAATCAAGCGGAGTTTCCAGCATTTTCAGCAGGGAAAAGGAAGATTTTTTCATGAGGTCAGGAACGTGGGAGGCTGCTTCCTGGATGCCTCTCAGACTCCTTCCTTGAGCTGCTCCGTGAATGTGAATCTGCCCATGACTCAGTTAAACTGGTCCAAAGCCTATCAATCTATTGATCCACTCCTAGAAAAAAGACTCAAAGAAAAGGCCACCTAATTCCTAGCCAAGCCCTAGAGAGAGAGAACAGCAGCTGATAGCTGTGATGAGAAAGAGGTGCCTCATTTTGGTTTATTCTCCTGAGATTCCAGGGGAATCAGGTTTTGCTGATAGACACCAAGAAGATTGTGCCATGTCCAATCTTCATCTCCAAGACCAATGCTAATTCCACACTCTTCCCCCATTCCCAAACTGCGAAGCTTGAAATGGGAACTGAAGTGTACCCTCCTTCAGTTCGATCCAAATTGCTTTATTCCTCTACTCAACTAATTATGATTCTGTTTCTGACAGCAGATTTCTTTGGCAACATCCTTGGTATCTTCTGCTTTTGTGCTCCTGGAAGTACCCTGGCAGCCCCATGCCTTCCAGCCCGCCATCAGTGCAGGAGGGTGGGAGAAATGCAACTTTGGACCCTAGCAGTTATTACAAACTCTGGAAAGTTTGTGCTTCCTCCATCCTTTAGCTGTAATTGAGGACTATAAGTTTCCCATCAAAGAGTTCCCATTTTTATCTTCTTTGATTTTAAGATGTACAAATAGCCTGGGTGGGGGGAGGAGCAGGGCCATGGAAGAGAAAGAACTTTAAAGCATGCTTGGAGGGAAAACGTTGGATTAATTATGTCACTTGGATCAGTAGTTTTAGTTTCACATTGCTGGCCTGCCTGAATCCTGATGTCTTCAGAAGTAGCTAAAAATCTGGCACCTTCAGCTGCAAGGGTGCAAGAACCCCAAGGCTGCTGAAAACTCCCGTAGGAGGGAAGCAAATGAGGTGGGGGAAGTTTGAGTAACCAGTTTTCCCCATTTGAAGAACAGAAAGCATGCACCCAATACCAATAGATTTTTCTGGGGCAAGAGGGGAACTATTTTTCACTAGATCTCCCATTTGTCCTATATTTATTTTTTTTATATCGGGTTCTTCGTTGTCCAAAATAAGGGAAGGAGATGGAAATGGAGACCTATCATCAATTTAACACCATTTTCTGCCAGTCAGTAGGTAAAATAAGAAGCAAATTTTACAGTGATCCCATTGTTTTTGTTAGCAACTTGTGCGTGGACCACAAAAAATAGTAAAATGGCTTTGCTATTAATTAAC